CCTCTGGGCCTGTTCCAGGTCTGTGGGAAGCTGGTCCCACACGCTCTCTCTCAGCAGCCTGGCAGCAAGACATAAGGCCTACTAGCTCTCTCTCGTGGGATGGCCCTCCTGGGCCATGGGCACAACACACAAGCCTGTGAATGAAGTTGTTCACTTCATCACCCTACACTAGTAACATCCGTCTCTCAACGAGTTATCCTGATGTGGTGTCTGCACGTTTCAGCATCCAGACACAGGTACAAGCAGGATCTAGCCGAAATTTGCCAAATTTCTTCGAGAATTGTAAGTGGTGTCCCAGTGACTCCACGCTACAGCGTCCCACACTGTTTCTCAAGTCACGTGTTCAGCGTCACTTGTATGTTGCTGTTGTTGTTCAGCTCAGCACAGCTGTTTCAGCAAGCCAGAGGTGAGTTTTGTGGTGATTTCTGCGTCCAGTGTGCGTTTTGCCGTGTTGTGGGTTTGAGAGGAGGAAGTGGCCATTTCCTCGCCTTGCCCATGTTCGCCCTACTCACGCTCACCCGTCTACCATACACTCACCACTGCCCACTCCCTCTGCTGTGTTTTCTGCTGTTTTTCATGTGATTGATTGCCAGAGCTGTGTATCCGAGTGCCCGAGGCCACTCGAAGCCACATGGATCAGCAAGCCACGTAGATCAGCAAGCCACGTAGATCAGCAAGCCACGTGGATCAGCAAGCCACGTGGATCAGCAAGCCATGTGGATCAGCAAGCCACGTGGATCAGCAAGCCACGCGGATCAGCAAGCCACGCGGATCAGCAAGCCATGTGGATCAGCAAGCCATGTGGATCAGCAAGCCATGTGGATCAGCATGCCATGTAGATCACGACGCCACGTAGATCACGACACCACATGGGGTGTGGATGATGTAACGTGGATCTACAAGCCACGTGGGTTACCAAGCCAGATGTTCCAGGCCTCATGCTGTGGTCTGCTGCCCGTATCACATTGACGTCACCGACGATGCTGCCCGACTTCATGACGTCACAATGTCTGCCTGACGTCACCTCGAGATGTCTGCTGACATCACCTTGCGACATCACGCCTGACATCACATGTCACATCGAGTGTTCTAGTAATTATTTCAGTATTGTCGAGAAGATATATGTCGTGTGTTAATTAATTCCTCTCAGTCAGTGTTCTCACATGTTAGTATATAGCTTAGTGTCAGTTTTGTGCACAGAAAAGCATCATTTGCTAGTTAAGCCATGTTGTACCGCATGTACCATGGGTTTGTTTAAAGTTTTCCATGTGTCCAGTGAGGTCTGAGGTCAGACCTTTGTGTAGCACCTCGTGTTAGTCACCCAGTGTGACCAGCGCGTTTGACAGCTGATATCAGTCAGCCCCTGAGCGTATGAGCCCCCTTGTACAGAAAGCTCTTATGCTCGTCGCTCATAGATGTTCTGCAGAATCGTACCTGCTATGATTCCCATCGAGATTTGTTTCACTTCACCTCCAGACCTTCAGAGTGCAGTTATATGTAGAGAAACAAGTCTGGGGACGCTTAGACTAACCTCTGCTATAACCCAACTGCCGAGAGAATGACACTCGTCAAGCCGCAGTTAGCCCTGTCAGCAGGCGCTGTGTCAGCCTCGTGTCACAAGCTTCAGTGAGCAGCCTGCACAAAGATGTCACTTTGACTGCTAGCTCACTATCGCTGCAGTCTGGTGTATGATGTTACGACTCCCAGATGTTTTGCCCAGTCATCTCTGCCACGACTCGCTCCACGCTCCGCTGGCAGTGACAGCCCAGCGACAGTACCAGCCCGAGAAGTGTCCTCCTGAGTCGCTAGCCAGAAGTCCTGCCCAGTTGCCGAGTTTTGTCGACGCCTCACTCGAGGGCACCAGCATGTCGTGCCCCAGGTTGAGTGAAACCTGCAGCGACTCCAACGATGTCTGCTTAAACCGTTCCAGAGGAGACCGTAACCTGTTACGTCACAGCTCAGCCGCAGCGATATCTCCTGTGTTGCAGTATCTGTCCAGACGCAGAAAGGCGTGCAGTGATGCCCTTCGACGCTCACTGCCTTTGACCACGATGTTTAGCACACCCCCACATGTTTTTTTTCTTCCCTCCCTGTAGGAAGTTTTTTTTTTCCATGTCCATATGTACATAAAATGTTTTTTTATTTGTGTTCTGTGCCCTGTTACTACGAGAGAGAGAGACCGAATTTTTTTTTACCGCCAGACATGGTCAGGACGACCATGTGGCAGGTGGCCGAGCATATGTAGACAGCCTGTACTGTGTGCACAGACAGCCTATGCTGTCTGCCAGCTTAGTTCATATTTCGCGCACTGAAGTGCTGCCCTCTGGGCCTGCCCAAGTCTATGGGATGCTGAGCCCACAATCTCTCACTCTCTCAGCAGCCTGGCAGCAAGACACAAGGCCTACTAGCTCTCTCTTGTGGGATGGCCCTCCTGGCCATGGCACAACACACAAGCCTGTGTACCCACCCAAAGACTTTTCAATGAAGTAAGAAGCCTCCGAAGACCTTTATAATTCACACCCCCGCTTACAGATATACCAATTAATCGCATTAAACAATTTTAACTTACAGGAGTTAAAACTTGTGGTGTAGTCATAGGTACTGTGTTTAGTTTATCACATTTTTTCAGGATTCCAGTAGTTTTAGGACACCACCACTTCTTGAATACCATTCCAGATATATCTACACCTATTAAGAAATATTTTCTAGTACTTCTTGAGTATTTTTTTTTTTACCATGGTCTGCAATTGTGTCTTTTTTCTCCTTACTGGATGTGCTAAAAAGCTAAGACATTTTACGTTTATAATCCCTCTTCATAAATTACATTGAATTCAGGTGGATGTTGCAGTGGGAGGGTCATCTGAATTGTGATGCCAGCACAGTTCTGGCAAAACAGAGATTGAATGAACAATGAAGAATGTGTTTCCTTTTTTTTTGAAGGGTCACCCTGCCTTGGTGGGAGATGACCAATGAGGTAAAATAATATCATATTTACCCAACACATTGACCTTATATATGACATTTCCACTGCCCTCAGCCTTCTCTTTGGTCAATAAAAAAAAAAGTATTCGCATACCTACACACTGGTACATTTTCTTTTCTTTGCCCCTACTAATAAACCAATTTATCTTCACAGATGTCTTAATCAATATCCCAACTATAGGCTGGCCATCACTAATCCAGCATCATCAAGACCTGTAGTGATTTTGTCTGATTACAGAGTGGTTAGGTTAGAATACACTTAACCCAATGGCAATATTTAAGCACCGGCAATTTCACCCAACTTATGCCCTATTTTTGGCCCATTCCATTGCTCCAGTCTACCAAACTCATAGCTATTTCACTAGTATTCCTTCTATTCTGTCGATTGAGTTCAAGAAACCGCCCATTCACCTATTTCAACTACCCAATAAAGTGGTCAGAAATTGGTAATTTGGCCAATCTCACACAAATTTCACAAGATGCCAATTTCAAAATAGGGTCCAGAATAAACAATGCAGACATTCCTAGCACTAAAATAGTATTTTATCTGTTCATTAGTCACGTCTCCAGGCCCCACTAATATAATGCTTGCTTTCCATTGTGAATTTTTATTCACAAAAAATAGAAGATTTACTGTTATGCTGGCTACTGCATTATTGTAATAATTGCATAAATAATGCCAACCCATTCATGACTGCATATTAGAACAGCCAGTTGGACATGTATTGGACGGTGACGTCATTTGTTTACTATCGAACATCAGCTACTCTGAGCTCAATTTTAAGGTACTTTCCGGCATGAAACCAATCAAAATTATATATCTATTTCTGTAAAATATCTTCCATTTTATCAAGTGAGACTAAAAAACGAGAAACAACCATACAAACTGTATGAAAATATACTGCAAAGTTAGGTTTACACCATAAACACGGTTGCATTTTTTCTCTCATTATGCACTGCGTGCTGCAGGATTTATTTTTATATAGTGCTCACTTACCACACAAATTTACCGGTCACACCTTCTTTGAGTGAGCTGAGCTCATGGCATCCGACAGTGGCTTCAAAGCCACCTTATCATTTACGGAAAAGTGTTAAACTGGTAGGGATCACATACTGCCTGGAGAATGGGAGGTTTTTAGAATTGACACAGGTAGAGGGAGGATAAATCCAGGACTCTGGATCAAGGCAACTCTCTCGAGGGGGTTGGCACCTAAATAGATAATGTGAAATGGGATATGAAAAAAAAGCCTTAGAAAAAATTAAGTGATCCAGTGTTTTTTGAAAAATTTTGTGTACCCTTTAACATGAAGGTGCCAGACAACTGATAATCTCTACCTAGTGATCAAAAATGTCAATAACCATCTAATAAACAAAAAGTATACATGTATATGTACTAATACAGCCTCTGATCACTTAATGATGGAGTTCCATTCCTAAGACTACGTCGGTAAATGAATTCGTCGCTAATGAGCGGCATACTATAATGGTAGTGGGTTTGTGTCTACCATCTTTGATATTGTTTTAATGTCACCTTTGCACCATTTATGACATTTCTGGTAGATTTTTAAAATGTTTATACACTAATGTACTGTATATTGTAATAAACAGATTAGAGGAAATCAGATCTAATGTACATTATTTAGGTATGCATACTGGTCAGAGAGCCCATCGTAAGTCCAAGTTGTCGGTAAATGAGTACTACTTCGTTAAGTGAGAAGAGACTGTATAGTAAATGCTCGGTGTAACAGATAGGGGGAAATGTCCATGTGTCTGTTAAATCATAATGTTAAAAAAAAGGATGAAGTACTTTACTGTTTACCTAATAGTATAGTATTGTACAAACAATTTACAGTTATTGTACAATGCAGTAAAAACTGAAAATAGAAATAAAAGTGTAATTTACCCAGTAGATTTTGCCTATTAATTTAAAAGCAAGTTATATTGAAGTCTGTTATATCGAGGGTACTGCATTCAAAAACTAATCTAACTCCAAAAAGAAGAATAAGAGCAACACTTACATGTTTTAAATGCAGCGTTAGGGTCCCCGGCCTCCTTCAGTTTCTCCACAAGGATGTCATAGATCAGCCCACTTGAATTTATTGTTCCAAATATAATACCATTGCACAGGAAGGAAGCAAACATAACCAACCATGCTCGGCATCCTCCATCCGGTGGAACAAAAGCAAGTACATGAGCTGGAACATCATAATTTTCCATAGCGACCTTTTCAGCAATAGTGGGCTCGTCTGCCACCATCACTTGCACGTGACCATTCTCCACAGCAGAAAAGTCTGTCAGGGGCGTGGCCTCAGCACCCCCTTTCAGTCGGACAGCATTCTCAACTTGGCTAGTATTTCTGACAGCAAGGGCAACAGACTGAGCTCCTTCTTCCATCATTGGCTCTTCTGCTTCTTGTGTTACTGCCATATTTACTGTTATTTTATATCTATTGTTAAATACCACAGGTACAAGTTTAATACATTTATCAAATACCTGTATTTACAGTTCCAGTTAACATATGGTAGATATTGTACAGTATTGTATGTTTAAATTAACTATAGAGTACTATACAATAATATACGATATTATTATTTGGGATTACTTTTAAATTTACCCTTTCCTCATTTTTCATATAGTTCTGAAACAATTTCACAACTTGTTCCTGTACTTGTATCCATAAATATTTGCATTAATATGCAATGCAAATATTTCAAACTGCACAAGAAATCATCTTGAACAAAATACTCTTCTTCCAACCATTAAATCCACATTGTTTATATACTTGCCTAAAGTGCTTGTTAATAAAGTTTATTTACTATAAAAAAATTCACCATAAAAGATAAACGAATTCCAACTACAGTAGTATGACATAACTTTGTCCTCACTAACAATGTTAAGGCATAACGATTACTTTTCTGAAATAGAAATAACTTTTTCTGAAGCACTTCAAAGGTTTCAGTTCACTATCTGGATGATGGTTAAGTGTTAACTAAGAAAGAGCATGTCACTGAGCATTTAAGAAGTAAATTGCCACCATATTGTAAGCGCTGAAGTTTTATGGAGAGCTTTTTTTTCCATTTGCAGGAGATGTCCAACTGCAAAATAAAAATACGTGTTAAAAAAAAGGCATTGTCATATGAAACAACATTAGGTGATTAAAAACTATGTAATTAATATACAAGGCAAGAAAAACTTTTAAAATCTCACACACAGTAATTAAAGCATTATGACAAAATATCTTCTTAGAAACTTGTACAGTACAGTATAATCATTTTATATTATAAGCAACAACAGATAAATTCAGCCTAACTCCACTGGCAACAACCGGTAATTAGTGCTAAACATTTGTTGTGTGAAACAGAAAATTTGTTTTTAAGTATAGTGGAACCTCAAATATCGAACTTAATCCTTCCAGGATCTAGTTCTAAATTCGAAAAGTCTGAAAATCGAAAGCAATATTTCCCATAAAAAATAATGGAAATACAATTAATCCGTTCCAGAAACCAAAAAATATTCACAAAAAAATACATTTTATAGAGATTAATTACAGTTTTACATACACACAACAAATACTAGTGTTCAATTATGTATATAAATGTAAAATAACATTTTTACTTACCTTTATTGAAGATTGGTGATGGCATCTGGAAGATAGGGAGGAGGAGAGAGGGAGTTGGGGTTAGTGTTTGGAAGGAGAATCCCCCTCCAAGAGGACTTCAGGTAAAGCCCTCTATTTATTTAATTTATTTATTTATTTATTTATTTATTTATTTTATGTCTTTGCAATGCAAAGAGAGCCTCTATTATGCCTAGGCATTATAGGCCAACTTAACATTATTGGCTTACAGACTACTTAACACTAAGGATTATATCATAGTTCTACAGTAGGATAGTAATTATTTCATAGTTGTACAGTAGATTATTAATTATAAATGAATCAAAATTTGTATAAGACAAAAGATATATTCATATATTCGAAAATGCTTTTTGTGAAAACAATGATTCAATTATATTCCTGTCAACAATGGATAAAAGGTTCAAAGTGATTGTTGAAGTTATGATGTGGGAGTGCATAAGTGAGTATGTGTGACTGAGTATTTAGCATTTAGTGTAGGGTGATTAAGTGGCTTTTGAGAAGAGTCTTAAATTGATTTTCAGACTGGGTTACTTTAATATCTTCTGGTAATAAATTCCATATTTTGGGGCCCTTTATGTTTACCTGGAGAAAGTTCCGGGGTCAATGCCCCAGCGGCCCGGTCTGTGACCAGGCCTCCTGGTGCATCAGAGCCTGATCAACCAGGCTGTTGCTGCTGGCTGCACGCAAACCAACGTATAAGCCACAGCCCGGCTGGTCAGGAACCGACTTTAGGTGCTTGTCCAGTGCCAGCTTGAAGACTGTCAGGGGTCTGTTGGTAATCCCCCTTATGTATGCTGGGAGGCAGTTTGAACAGTCTCGGGCCCCTGACACTTATTATATGGTCTCTTTTTAAAGTGCTAGTGACACCCCTGCTTTTCATTTGGGGGATGTTGCATCATCTGCCAAGTCTTTTGCTTTCGTAGTGAGTGATTTTCGTGTGCAAGTTCGGTACTAGTCCCTCTAGGATTTTCCAGGTGTATATAATCATGTATCTCTCCTGCCTGCATTCCAGGGAATACAGGTTCAGAACCTCAAGCGCTCCCAGTAATTGAGGTGTTTTATCTCCGTTATATGCAGGCCGTGAAGGTTCTCTGTACATTTTCTAGGTCGGCAATTTCACCTGCCTTGAAAGGTGCTGTTAGTGTGCAGCAATATTCCAGCCTAGATAGAACAAGTGACCTGAAGAGTGTCATCATGGGCTTGGCCTCCCTAGTTTTGAAGGTTCTCATTATCCATCCTGTCATTTTTCTAGCAGATGCGATTGATACAATGTTATTGTCCTTGAAGGTGAGATCCTCCGACATGATCACTCCCAGGTCTTTGACGTTGGTGATTTCGCTCTATTTTTTGGCCAGAATTTGTTTTTACTCTGATGAAGATTAATTTTCCCTCTGGGGCTTACCCTATCTGGTAATTGAAATTTTCATCGGTAAACTTCATATTTTCTGCAGCCCACTGAAGATTCGGGTGATGTCCGCTGGAGCTTGCAGTGTCTGCAATGGAAGGACACTGTCATGCAGATTCGGGTGTATCTGCAAAGGAAAGACACGGTGCTGTGGCTGACATTCCTTGTCGTGTCGAATATGAGGATGAGGAACAACATGGGAGCGAAAGTACTTTGCTTGTGGAACAGAGCTTTTCCGTAGCTGCCTCGGACTGTTACTCTGTTGACGACTTACTCTCTGTGTTCTGTTAGTGAGCGAGGAAATTATAGATCCATCGACCGACTTTTCCTGTTATTCCTTTAGCACGCATTTTGTGCGTATTAAGCATGGTCTCACTTGCGAAGGCTTTTGCCAAAGTCTTGTTTTTATTACATCTGCATTCTTTTTATCTTCTAGTGCATTTAGGACTTGTCGTTAGTGATCCAATTAGTTGTGGACAGGACAGGAGCGGCCTGTTCTAAACCCATGTTGCCTGGTTGGGCAAACATGGGTGGTGATCTTGCTACTTATGGGTCCCTTTCAAAGATTTTCTATATGGGATGTTAGTGCTATTGGTCTTGTTGTTCTTTGTGTTGCTTTACTGACCCCCTTTGTGGAGTGGGCGCTATGTATGTTGTTTTAGTAAATGTGGACGGAACCCCGTGTCCATGCTCCCTCTCCATAGGATGGAAAAGGCTAGTGATAGGAGGGCCGGGGGCCGGGGCGTCTTTGCAGTTCTTGATGAACACGGAGTTCCACGTGTCTGGGCCCTGGGGTAGAGTATGCATGGGCATGTCATTTATCGCACTGTTCGAAGTCATTTTGTGTCATGATTACATCGGATAGGCTTGTGTTAACCAAATTTTGTGGCTCTCTCATAAAAAATTCATTTTGATTTCGACTCTAGTCTGGTTAGCGGCTGGCTAAAAACTGAGTCTTGATTGGGACTGAGTGCTCAATCATTTCCTTGCTGTCATCTGTGTAGGACCATTTGTTTAAGTTTTTTTTTTTTTAGGGGCCCACACTGGACGTTTGTTCGCGACTTTGATTTGGCTTAGGAGAAGAAATACTTTGGGTTTCTTTCAATTTCATATATGGCTTTTAGTTCTTCCCGCGATTCCTGACTCCTAGAAGTTTCCTTTAGCTTGAGTTCGTTGCTTGCTATTTCTTACTGGACTAGTGTCTCCCTACGCATTTCAGATATAATTGACCTTCTTTTAGCCACTCTTTTATTCTTTTCCTTCGCTGTAAAGGGAGCGCCTCGGTCTCTTTCTATTTCACATCTACTCCTCCTTGTTCTTAGTGGAATAAGCCTTGTGCTATACATCGCGTTTGCCACCATGTTATCTTTTCTAGGCATAAGTTGGAGTCTGTGTTGCTTAGTATAATCTTCCAGCTTATATCGGTCTAGGACTTGGTTACTTGGTCCCACTTTATGTTTTTGTTATTGAAGTTGAATTTGGTGAATGCTCTCGTGGACTGGGCGGGGGCTCCACGCCATACATGTCTGTGCCTCAATTATGTTGTGATACTGTGTATATTGTTTTTGATATGGTGACTTTTCTTTCAATCTATCATTGTTAGTGAAGTTGAGGTCTTTGTATTCTCCAGTTAGTAGGCTCTATTATTTGGCGGTTTTTAAAAATGGAATTTTGTGCAGAGATTTAAAAGCTCATGTGTAGTGTGAGTTTTCATCAGAGCAGATCCTGGTGTTATTACTGCAACATATTATTTTGCTATATTCTCCATTTTAGGTGCCTTAAGTTTGAAATACCCAGGAGCTAGTTGTTGGGTGAGGTGCTGGAATATTTTCCAGGACAGTGGTCAATTTTTAAACAGAT